GTTTTAAAGTGAGTGTGGGGGGACCACAGTCCCGACCCGCAAAGCTGGAAGCCGACATGAGGGAGACCAGTGCCAAAGACCCCGAGAGGGACCCCAAGCACGCAGCCCCTAGGGACACCCGCGCCGGAAGGGGCGCCCACCCACCCCCCAAAGAGGACCACCGGAGAGAACCGGAAGAGCCCCACCAGCGACTACATACAGCAACCCCCGGGGCCAGCAGTGGCGAACTCACAGGCCCCGCCGGTACCCACCGCGCCAGAGTGGATCCAGGCGCCGACACAGAGGCCCGGGCCTCCAGGCCGCACCCCCCCCAGGCCAAGGCCCGATAGGGCCAGGGGGAACCCAGCCCCGCCGGGCAGCCACCGGGCCGAGCCGGCACATGCCCAAGCACCCAGCCCCGGACGAGAGCCCCCAGCGCGCCGGCCGGCAAAGGTACAACCCACCAGAGGACAGCATGGTCAGGGGAGTAGTGGGCCCTYAAATGATCCCGAAGAAGGGGCCGCTCAATTCACTTGTGTGAATATCTGAAAAATGAGCCCGAAGAATCTAGGCCCAAAATCCCGCACAGCGATAGTTCAGAATATGGATGTTAAGTGTTCATTCTGTGCGGCCCTCAGTTTTCTCCAGGAACCAGATCAGATAGGAGTGAGGTGGGGGGGGAGGTGAGGGGCAGACCCTCAGTCGACGTATACATCCAGGAAGATTTAGTTCCACAGCTCAAGGCCATTGTAGGGGAGAGCCAAATTTGTAATCAGTTATTTGGGAACAGAAGAACAAAATGTTTTGGGTCAGGCAGACAAAAATATTTCCATCTGCCTTCATGTTCGTTGKTACATCCAATGTGRCGAATCCAATCAGACAAATAATRTGGGCAATCCCGCCGAGCTCACAGCCTTTTCAAGATCAATTCCATCTGGCCAGCAAAGTCCAGGAACCACTGCTGGCCCATGACTCTTAGCAGAACCGCTTACAGACCGAGTTCCAGCTCGCTCAAGGCAAAAGTCTGAGTGCTGATAGAATGGCAATCCTTCATATTGGTCAGGCAGCCAGGAAATGGCCCGAATAGCCACCAATGCTGTTTTGCAGACCACCAGGAGACCACCAAGCCAATCTGTAGAATCCGATGATCAGAATCCAAAATATATATCCAGAACAGAGCAGAACAGAGGTCCCACCTTTAACATGTCCTCCCATAGAAGAAAACTTTGTTCGAAAAATWTATTAAGAGACCAGCTAACCAAATCCATAAAAATAAAAATATCCATAATTTCTGGTTTTGGATGAAAACGTAGAGGAGGCTCCGAGCAGCAAAGCAGGGAAGATAAGGATGGCAGGAGAGAAGGGAAGAAAGTATTTTACTCCTCCAAGAGCAGGAAAAAAAAAACAAAAGTACAATCTCAGCTTTAACCTTGTAACACAAACCTTTTGAAGGCTACAGATTCAAAGTGAGTGAGCTGAAAAAAAACTGTATAGATTTTCAAAACAAAATGTGAAAAAAAATAAAATCCTTTTTTATGTTTAATCTTATTCATAACAGGAATTTAGCCAGACTAAATGATGCAATAATTTCATGTTTATTGAAATATGAACTTTTAAAGAAAGTGTACAGTCGTGCATTTAAGATTAAGATCTGGTAATGTTATTCAGTTTTTCAGTTGKATATGCAGTGAATTAGTATTTAAAAGTAATTCAGTTAATTAAAATTTTTTCTGACATATCACCACTGGAAAAAAAAGAAGTTAGACCTATAATGATTTAAGGAAAACCCCTTAAAGTTTGCTTATTTCACACTAACTTCTAGTTTTCTTTAAAGTTTTTCACTGAACTTTTCCATCCAATCAGGAAACATTTCTGAAGTTTACAGATGTTGCTTAAAATGAGACAAGAGGTGAAAAACAGTCAAACTCATGCATTAAYGTTTAGAATTATTGTTTGAGAAGCAGACTTTTTGTTGGAGTTTAGTGCAGACTGAATGATGATGTCATATCAGAGTACAGAAGCACAAGTTAATGTCTGTAGGTTGACAGGAACAAAATAAAACATGCCTGATWGGTGACAATTTAATTTACTTACCAACAAACCTTTAACTATTGAAACAATTTTATTGGAAAAGTGTTGGAAAAACATTTTTATAACAAAGGAGTTTATTTCAGAGTTGCGTATACTAAGAATGTAAGCAAATGACTTTGTCCACTGGTGTGTGCCTTACTAAAGAGATCCAACCCTGTAGACAGGTCAAACAGGGACTAATGGTTAGCTTTGTGATCAAAGAAGAAACACTAAATATAGTCTGTCTTTTAAAAACTTCTTATATTTTCAGGCAGATTAATTTAAAGTAACAATAATTTCAGTTCTTAAAATAAACTGGATTTATTTCTGAGAAACTATCATTAAGCAGATGCCCTCAGTAAAGAAAAAGCAAAAATAAACTCATTGCTAATCAGCTCCTCAGAAAATACAATTTTCTACAAAACACAAGTGACGTTTGTGACTCAATATAATTTTTATAAAAGCAAAAAACAAGCAGGTTCTGATAATTGGTTTCTGCCTGAACAGCTGTTTTCCAGCTGTTCAGGTCAATGGAGCCAGATGAAGAGGAAATGTAATAATAGGGTGGTAGTTGAAGACCTGCAGCTGTACAATGATGGAGGTGTTAGGAGGGACACRCAGACTCCAGATTACTTCTACATGTCTATTATTTACACTCACTGGGTGATAAAATGACATTCTGGTAGAAAGTTTAAAGAAAAAAAAACGTTTTTCCCAGATTTGTTTTGAAATTATTTTTCTCTTTGTTTGCTGAAAAAACATTTAAACTGAGCTAATTAGGATAAAAAAATTACTTTTAAATAATTCAATTTAGGGAGAAAAAATTGTTGCCTTGATTTGATCTCTTTAATGACAGAAATACAGACTGGATGTCAGACCTGTTTATTCTTA